TATATATCCTGGGGCACAAGGCTTACCCTCTCCATGTCTGAATTTTCCTATCTGTAAAATAGAAGGAAGAATCTTTTGACCACATATAGCTCTTTCTAAAAACATATTAACTGAGGTATTTTGCATTTTTTGCATGATATATGGCATATATGAAATAGTCAATACTAATTTTTGATTGTTACTTATAGTAATAATGGTTAACCTTCACACAGAACTTTATAATTACCAAATAATTCATTCTCTTAAGAAGAAAGCGAGCTTAATTTTCTTAGTCCTTATCATCTCAGAACTTTAATATTTCTGACACCACAAAAATAAAAATGGAGATGAAAAAGAGCTATTGGAACATTCAAAATGGTATTTTATTTAAAAAGTTTTTTCTAAAAGTAGAATAACATAATCATGATAGAAAAATATAAAATACAGGTAGGTGAAAAAAATGTTAGTTTCAGCTTTACCAAAAAACCTATAAAATAATACTGTTTTTGCTTTATTTACTTTCTGAATTTTTCATGCATAATTTTACATAATTATCTGTATACTTTTCCAACAAAAGTACAACATACAATATATAACAATATAGTAACAGAAACTATTTCTATGAATTAAAAGATTTTGAAGAAATGTTTCTTTAATTCCTGAAAGCAAAAAGGGGTGCTGTATATAAATGTACTGAAATGACTTTTAGCTTTTATTAATTGATGGTGTAGCAGACCTTTCCTTTCTTGACTTGTATGCAGTTCTGCTCTTAATGAGGGAGAACACTGCTGGGAGAGGCAGTCTTGGTTGTTTCCCCTGTGTTATTGTATAGGAAAGGCTAGTGAAAATATCATGGTTATGAGTTGAAGATGTGGCTTCTGGTATCACATATGAAAGCAATGAAAGCAAAGGATTTCTCTCTCTGAGAGTTGAGATGATCTTATTTGATAAAATGTAGGAGATAACTGGAACTTCACTGCTTCCAAATTTTTAATCTCTCTTTTTTTGAAATGTTTATTTATTTATTGGGGGGGTGGTAGAGAGAGAGGGAGAGTGAGAATCCTGAGCAGACTTTGCACTGTCTGTGCAGAGCCCCATGTGGGGCTCAAACCCACAAACTGTGAGATCATGACCTGAGCTGAAATCAAGAGTCAGATGCTTAGTTGACTGAGCCACCCAGGAGCCCCTTTAATCTCTTTATGCAAGAAATAGCAGTCTCTTGCTTTCCTGAAGTGATGGGAAACTGAGGTGGTTCTTTTAAGATGAAGCATTTAGAATTCTATATCCTACTTTAAGTATTCACTTAATCTTCAGTGCAAAATGGTGAAGTGCCTCAGTGTACTAGTCCCAGCATGTGATCCAATGCTCCGTCTCCCTGGGCATTCACATTTGGTTATATGGCCTCTCTACATACTTTGAAATGCACATCTCTGACACTTTTAGCATTTTCCCTCTTTTTCATTAGCATATTGGTTGTCCATATCATAGAAGATGCACTCTTTCTGAGCAGGATCCTGTCTGCATCTCTCTTTGTAGATCCCCTTCCAGCCACTTACACATATTAGGGGCTTGATATACCGTTACTGAATTAACATGTGAATCAACGAAAGTTTGGACAGTACACAAATCAATGGATGAATGAATGAATGATGGGTTCTGAGAAATAAGAGAATGGTTTTCATAAAACCAAAAAATATATCTTATTCTATAGCTTCTCTATTAATTCTCTACAATGTTAAGATGATATAATTTCAAAGGTAAGCCAAAGATCCAAACAACCATGTTTGCAAGAGATAAAACATTGGATTTTTTGACGACTGGATTCTTTGACTCACGCAGACTTAAACAGAAAAAAATTGCTTCCCTATCTCATCTATCGTCAGAACACCTGTTAATAGACCTTTGTTTTTTAATCTGGTGGCTGAAAAAAAAAGGAAGCTGTTTGGAATCCTACAGTACAGCCATCCTAGTTTTCATATTATCACCTGCAGCAATTGTTCACATTTCCAGACCTTCTTGGTTGTTATGCCTCTACTAGATTATTCTCACTAGTCTTTTTTCAGAAGACATTGAAGCAGAACTTTCTGGGATTTTAAAAGGAGAATTATTATTTGCTTGAGTATACACCATTACAGGTTAAAAGATAACCCTAGGGAAACTAAATCTAGAGATGTGAAAAAGGGATGGAGAGCAGTGGATAGGTAGAGATCTTTTTTTTGTTGTTGGGGAGGGGTAATGAGCAAAAAAAGTAGGAAAAAAGAATTTGAAGGGAAGAGTGTCAGTGAATGACAACACTTGCAAGTAATCTCTTTCTTTATGTTGAAATGTTATATTTGACATTCATTTTAAAACTGTAATCATGTGTAACAAACACTGTCTTTACCTATTGAAGGCCAAGATTAACTAATAAATCTAATGTGGAGTGTATGTGAAACAGCGTACATGAAATCACTTTGGTAAAGAAGAGAAAAGGATTCATGCGAGGTGGTTAAAAACCATGCTGATAAATGATTAACAAACATTCTTATTCTTTTTGAATAATTCATTGCTTTAGGTTGTATAGAACGGCCTCATAGAAATAACACTATAATATTAATGGTCATAGTCCAATGTCATCATTTGTATCTCCTTTATGCCAATTACTGGGCTAGTAACTATTCTGCTCTCACAAATATCCTTTGAGCCAACAAGTATGTTCATTTTACAGTAAATAGTGAAGAGTTTGAGAGGTTAAATGCATTTTACGGAATTACCTTTGCTTGTTTATTTCAGTGTTACAACCCACTGACTTACACTGAACAGCTTCATTACCCTTTCTACATCTTAAATAATTCATCTGTTAAATGAGGATGATAGCAGTGTCTGACTTCAGTGTTGATATAAATATCAAATATGCCTGACACTTGATAAACAGTCAAGCAAATGTTGGCTGTGTTGGTGATGACTTATAGATATGAAATTGTCTTAGTAATCAACACTATCTTTAGATGATGTTGTCCAAAAAATTTTGGAGTAGTTTTTACTCTTTTCTCTCTTTACATCTGTGTTAAGTCCATCCACAAATTCTATTGTATCTGCCTTCATAATATATCCACCTCTACTACTACCATACTGGTCCAAACTCATTGCTTTTCAGCTGGATGGTTGTAATAACCTACTAACTAGTTTGCTTCTACTTTTATTCCTTTATGACCTATTCTCCAGATCTGAGTCAGAATAATCTATTACAATAACCTGCAAGGCCCTACAAGATCTGTCATCAACTAATCTTTATTCATTCCTATCCTGTTACACTGCCTCCTTTGATCAATAGTATCAACCATCCTCTCTCCTCAGGGACTTTTCACTTGCTAGTTTCCCTATCTGGAAACGGTTTCCCTTGGATATCTTTGTGGGCCCTTCCCCATTTGTTCAAGTTTGGTCTATGCAATCTCTTCTGAAAGAAGCCTTCTCTGACTACCTTGGAGAAAATAATCATATCCAGGGACCATATATCATATACCCTGCTTTATTTTTCTCATAACAAGTATTATAATTTGACATAATGCATAATTCCTTTTTTATTTGCTATTTTCTGTCTCTACTTACTAGAATATAAGCTTCATGAAAGTAGAGGCTTTATCTTTTACTGTTAAAGCTCCAAGACTTCCAAGACTTTAGTATGAACTTATATGTGAATGATTCAATAGATCATAAAATTATATTTCATTGTGTAATTCTCCCCCCCATCCCCAAACACACACACATACACATACCAGGGCTAAATTGATGTAATTTGTTCAGCAGCTTGGTTTCATTGTGGTTGATGAGGATGCTTCCATTAACGAAGTCTGGATGGGACCGGAATTAGGAGGTTAATAAAAAATAGTTTAATAACATATTTTGATTCCATGTGTCTTCAAAGCAAGTTTTTTTCCTTTTTTTTTTTTTTTTTTAGAGAGAGAGAGCGTGAACAGGGGAGTGTCAGAGAGAGAGAGAGAGAGAGAGACACAGACTCTGAAACAGGCTCCAGGCTCTGAGCCGGCAGTCAGCACAGAGCCCGACGCGGGGCTTGAACCCACAAACCGCGAGATCATGACCTAAGCGAAAGTCGGACGCCCAACCAACTAAGCCACCCAGGCGCCCCCAAAACAAGTTTTAAAAAAGACTTTTTACAAATTGATTAAGTAGAAACAAATCCTCAAACAAAATAAAACAGAAAAACCCATGATGAAATAACACAGAGGTTAAGAATATCTTGATTTTTATGAGCCTTTTAGCTTATCTCTCCTAAATATAATGGTCTCTATTCTCAGATCAAAAAGCAAAATAATTTTTTAGAAAGTGAAACCATGACTTTTACACAAAAGGAACATATGAAAAAGATTGTATTTAATCATTAATTAATGAGGGAACTGGTAAGATTATAATCAGCCTAAAGAAGAATTGAAAATATTACCGTAGGGCACCTGGGGAGCTCAGTCGGTTAAGCATCCGACTTTAGCTCAGGTCATGATCTCACGGTTTGTGAGTTTGAACCCCACATCAGGCTCTGACAGTGTGGAGCCTGGAGTTTTATAAGTTTAAAAAATTGTAAAGTAGCTCAAGGCGGTAAGAGGCATAAATCCCATACTGAATTATATAATCCCAAAGAGTGCCACAGATAACACAGACTTCTACCAAAGATGTCCAGTAATCTTTATGGTACATTTCTGCCTTACACAATATTTTGTTTTCTGACAAAAGTTAACTTCATTTAGCAGCTATACACCAAAAGAAATACAGGAGTGCTTTATAAGTAAAATAAATAAATTCATAAAATAAATAAAAATTATAAGTAAGTTTATAAAATAAATTTATATGAAGGGAAAATGATTTTCTCATTTATTTTTATTTATTTATTTATTTTTACAAAGGAAAGAACACAAATTTTCTCCATCTGTTGGAGTCCTGAGACAGCATACTTAAAACGAGAAATTTAAAAGAGTTTGATTGTGTTTACTTATCAAGGTATAGGTAGGGCTAAGGGAGAAAAATAGAGGATGATAAAGCAGTTACCACAGTTAGACCTGAGAGACCAAGGTGGGAGAGTGATCACAGGAACCCGGAGGGTCCATCGCAAAGAGTTCTGCCTCAGTGAGTCACCCAGTGGTTGACAGACCACTGTCAATTGGACGATACATACTCTGACATTCTTTTCTTCTCATCTGATTTCTTACATTCAGCTGGGACCATCTACTGGTCAGAAGGTAAAAGAACTGGCTGAAACAGACCAGGGTAAGCAGCTGCCCAGGGTGGACACATGGAGAGTGGATCTGAAGGGATGGAAAGACAGTATCTAGTTACCGGTCCAGCCATGTACTGCATGATTTTCTTTTCCTTAGTAAGAGAGTAAACACTTTCATTTTTGGAGTTAACTGGAAAAAAAAAAACACAGGAGAAATTAGTAAAGAGTCTTCCAATTTATTTATTCATTTCATATTTATTGGACACCACAATGAGTCAGACACTGAGCCAATTGCTGGGAATAAAGAGGTGAACAAGAAGAGATAGGTCTACTTCTCTTCCACTTATGGAAAGGGTTTTTAAATGGAAAAGAAGGTGAAGTAGACTTAATCTTGCATCAACCATGTGTGGGACCAAACCAACAGTTGTGCAGCTTTTTGAAAATATTTAACGAAGAGTTTTTAACATTTCTTACTGTCTGAGAGGCAATCAGGTCTATTATATGGTGAGCTTCCTGTGCCTGGATATCCTCTAGCAAAGGCCCAGTGACCATTTTTCAGGTGTGCAACAAGGATTTTTCCATCCTTGTAAGAAGCTGAATTTGCCTCAAAAATTTGCTCTTTTTATAAAATGGAAAAAACAGTTTCTTCTCTTTGGCACACCATGTAAAGATAGCTTTTGCTATTAAAATGCTTTGGACTCATCTAAAAACTCAAAATATAGAGTTCTCATCACCTTGCTTTTGAAAATACTGTCTTTACAGGTGAATTCTCCACTCATGTATTCATCATCATCATTGAAATAAAAGAAGACAGGATGAATGTGACCGAATTCATTCTAATGGGACTTACCCAGAATCTTCAGATGCAGAGAATTCTATTTTTGGTGTTACTTATCATCTACATTGTCACTGTCACAGGCAACCTGCTCATTGTGGTCACTATAATCTGCAGCCAGACTTTGGACTCCCCAATGTATTTCTTCCTGGCATTCTTATCTTTGATAGATCATGCTATTCCTCCTCCATAGTCCCTAAAATGTTAGCTGATCTGCTCTCTGATTCAAAATCCATTTCCTTCAGTGGCTGCATGACACAGCTCTTTGTAGAACATTTCTTAGGAGCTTCAGAGATTGTCCTCCTTGTGGTCATGGCCTACGACTGCTATATGGCCATCTGTAGACCTTTGCACTATATGACCATCATGAACTACCACACACGTTGCCTCTTTGTAGGGGTGTGTTGGGCAGTAGGTTTTCTCCACTCCATTGGACAGATTCTAGTTACTTTCTGGCTCCCATTCTGTGGTCCCAACACCATTGATCACTTCATGTGTGACATTTTCCCCCTGTTACAACTTGCCTGTACTGACACTTTCTTTGTTGGCCTCTTTGTTGTTGCCAACGGTGGATTGATTTCTGTGATCACTTTTGTGATGCTATTGGTATCCTATGTGGTCATCCTGTGCTCCCTGAAGACCCACAACGCTGCAGGGAGGAAAAAGGCCCTCTCTACCTGCGGCTCCCACATCACAGTTGTTGTTTTGTTCTTCGTGCCCTGTATTTTTATGTATCTGCGACCAGTAGCTACTTTTCCCATGGATAAAGTCGTAACAATATTTTTTACTCTTATTACTCCCATGTTAAACCCTGTCATCTACATAGTAAGGAATACAGAGGTAAAAAATGCCATCAGAATGTTATTAAACAGGTATGCAATTTCAGATAATGAATGACCCACTACAAAGATTTTACTTCTATCATGATCTTTCAAATTTTTACATTTTATTATTTTTATTTAAAAAAAATTTTTAAAGTTTATTCATTTTTGAAAGACAGAGAGAACAGAGCATGATCCAGGGAGGGGCAGAGAGAGAGAGGAAGACAGAATCCAATGCAGGCTCCAGGCGCTGAGCTGTCAGCACAGAGCCTGACGTGGGGCTCGAACTCACTGACCATGAGATTATGACCTGAGCTGAAGTCAGACACTCAACCGATGGAGCCACCCAGGAGCCCCTATTTTATTACTTTTAAGACCTTATATCTCTCATGTGGCACAACACCTCTGCAAACTAGGTATTATTAAGATTATTCATATTTTACGGATGAAGGAAAATGAAGTTCAAAAACAGTAAATAACCAGCCCAATGTCAGACAGAGCTAGTATGCAGCTCTGTATTTTTCTAAATCCAAATTTGGTGGTCTTTCAACCATTAAATAAGTATCAGAAAAAAGGCAGCATTTCATCAGAACTTCTCCTGTTTTGTAACAGACTTAAAAATGTTCCTTTATAATTACAGAGTTGTGTAATGGCTTGTGTATATAAGCAGTTGGTACTCAGAAAGCTGAATTGCCTACTGGCATAGGACAGTGTGGACTATAATTTAGGAAGAAGGTATTTGCCAACACTCTCTTGGCACACACTTGGTATACCTAATGTTTAAAATCATATTTTATTTCTTGTTCTGTTGGGTAAAAGTTGTCAGGGATTGTAGAAATTAATTGTATTTAAACCAATGTGGAATTTTTAAAGTGTATTCCCATGGTCACAATTTATAAAATTGAATTCTCGTGTTGTTTATTTTCAGGAAGAAAAAGTAGAAAATCAGAAAGGTTAAATAACTTGGGGCGCCTGGGTGGCGTAGTCGGTTAAGCGTCCGACTTTCGCTTGGGTCATGATCTCGCGGTTCGTGGGTTCGAGCCCCGCGTCGGGCTCTGTGCTGACTGCCAGCTCAGAGCCTGGAGCCTGTTTCAGTCTGTGACTCCCCCTCTCTCTCTGACCCTCCCCTGCTCACGCTGTCTCTCTCTCTCTCTCCTAGAAATAAATAAAAAATATTTAAAAAAAAAAAAAAAAGAAAGGTTAAATAACTAGATCATATAACATGTAAGTCAGACTTGAGTGCAACTATTCCTACTCGGTATCCTGTGATCTTTTCATTATACAAGGTTCTGGGAATGGTATTTGATTACAGTTTGGTTTATAAAAATATGTTTTGTTTATACGCCATAGAAAGTGACACTTTGAGTGATAATTATTAGTAAAATCAAATGTAATTGTTTCCCAGAAACACACAGTAAAATATATTTGTAAAATCATTTCACTATTAGAAAGCTGACTTTGCATTTAGTTCCTTGAATCTGGAATCCTCTTTGGAAACTGCTGTAGGAGATCATTTATAAGAGATATGAAAAAAATAGGAACCATTACTCTACAGTTGCCAAAGAAAGTACTTCTCAGCTAAACAACTGAAGTTACATGACTTTCTTGTGAATTAATTTTGGCTTTTTTCAAAAATAAAGTCTGTTATAAAAAGTGAAATCTATTACCAAAGTACAGATGTGTATTATATCACAGATGTACTTATACCTTCCTCTTTTGACAGAAAGATCCATCCTCCCATGAGTGCCATATGCTTTATTGAAAACAATCAATGGATTCCATGGTGTAACAATATCTAACAAGCATATTATGGTTATGAAAATATAGAGTAAAAAAACATCAGCTTTAGGAACAGGAGACATGGGTCTTAGTTCTTACTGTGCCATTAGCTCATTCCATGACCTGAATCAGCTGTCTGTATTTCTACCAGTAGTTTACCTAGGTAATTTAGAAGGTGTTTCCAAGTTCTGTGGTTCTGCCCATGCCCATATTTTTATTACTATAAATAATGTTATTGTCACTTCTACTTCAATTAAAAGTAAAATTGGAAGAGTTATGAGATGACGGCTCATCTCCCCCAATTTTTGTGTTTCTGGCGAACAACTTAGAAAATGTCCTTCAAGGATGAAAGGGTCTGTGGATTGGTAAGACAATACGAGTTCCGCTACTTTGAGAACACATTCCTCTCCCCATTGAAATGCATGAAGCTACATGAAATGCATGAAGAACACTTTGGCAGGTACCAGAATTTTATGAAATAGTCCCTGAACCCATTAAAGATCAGACCATACCTCAACTAGTTTCTGATCAACTGTGATATGATCCATATTTAATTTCTTCTGCTTTCATTCTGGTTTTCCCTTCTGGTTTGGAACTTTGTGTTGCTATCTCTCTCAGGTTTCCAACGACTCTGCCTTTGGATTTATATTCTGGAAACAGACTTTCCTGGTATAGCTCCAGGAACTTCTCTTTTGAAAAGTTACTTTCATAGAAAACCCTCAGTTATTTAGATTTAACTTTGTTCTTTTTCCATCTCATGCTATTCTAGGCCTTGTGAAGCTAGACTAGAGAGTATAGGGGTTCTAAAGCAATCTCTCTATGGACCACTGTAGCTAAGTAGAGGCCAGATAACCACTTAATGGGCACTGTGAATGCCATGCAATCTTTCATGACATTGGGCACAATGGCCTTGTAAGTACATGCTAATACTCTGATCTGACTCTGGTTTTCATTCCAGCGTTGAAATACAAGTTTAAGACATTTTCACAGATGACACTTCAGCAAAATACATATTCCTTATTTTCCTCTTTAGGTTCACATCCTCATTCAAACTGTCTTTGGCATCTACCATCACAAATATTATCATGGCACTATAATACTCAAGTGTCTAATCAAAGTAGTTTTAGTCATGTGTTCTTGGGTATCTTAAACTGTTTTCCCCCATGACACATGTTGCTATTAAGGACCCAATCCAGAGTTATGTACAGAGTTTTTCCTTTTATTAAAGAAAGCATATCTGAACATGGATGAGTATGCTTCTATATAGGAATATTTCTGAATTTAATTAAATAAAAATCATTCCAAAAATTGATTATTTATTTCTTTTAGTAGGTAACTGTAATGTGCCTCACAGTTGGTGATAGCATAAAGGTGTCACGACACTTTAGTGGTAAAACAATAATTTAGGGACAAGGATCCTGACCCAGGATTTAGAGGCTTGTCTTCTTTCATCTTGGCAAATAGCATTCTTATTTCCTATCTTATATTTCCTTGTTATAAATATAGATGCCTATTTCTTTTCTATTTCATAGGGATACTATGTGATTAAATTTATATGACTGAAACAAATGCATTTTACCTCTTTGAATATAACTCAAGAATGGAATTATGTTCATTATGATCATGTTAATCAAATTTCAGAATTGGCATAAGAAACAACCACTTTGAAGAAGTATGGAAGCTGTAGCTAGTAGGAAGTTCCAATATTATAATAGGGTTCATACCAAGTTATGTACATCTGAAAACAATATTTAAAAATTATCACAATGAATGGTAGACCAACCAAAACACAAATATTATGATGAAAGTTTAAAAAATCAGAGAGTTATTCATTTAAATGTTTAATTTATACAACACCAAATATTCAGACTCTGTATTAAGCTCATTTTTGTCAAGTATACAAATTTATAAGTGGTTTACTTAGTTTTCTTCTCTTGTCATCGTGTTTTGTCTTCACACAGACTAAAGGAAGAAATTAAAAATGAAAGATGAATGCTGTAAAACTCCTCTGATGTTCCGTTAAGTTACATGCAATAATTGGGTTGTTGGCAAGATCTACTAATGATGGTGATGTATCCCTGAGGTCCAATTAGCCAAGGCTAATAAATGTCACAGAATGTGACTATAGACAGGGTGCATACTTGTGCTTATGAGGCCCAAAAGAAAGGTGCCATTTATAATTCAACAAAGACCCTTGATGTAGCTGGGCTAGTTTGTATTTTCAATCTTACAACTTTACTTATTTCTTGGTTAACTATCAGCTGCCTGAGACCCTAGCCATGGAGCTATGTCAGACAAGTTCATAGGTGAGATGTTTCTCCCTCCTCCCCCGAAAATCATATAATTATAGAATCTTAGGTTTAAATGGATCTTATAGATCATGTAATCACCTCTTACCCCCTCCCCTGGCTAATCTGACATTTAAGTCTCTTCTTCAGCAAGACAAACATCACAAAATACGGAATCAACTCCAATACTACCAATTTAGAAGTAAAAATATTTTGAGATCTTTTTTCCTTATTGACACATATTATATTTAAATTAGTTAGAATCATGTTATATATTCAAATTTGCATCTGAAATTCCCCCAATTATTATTACAACATTAGAATTTTCCTTTGATATTGTGCAAATTTTAAAAAATGTCTGTTAAAAATGTCACATTCTTCAAAGAGGTGCAGTATATTTTGCTTATCCATTTCTCTAGTGTTGGAAATTGTATGCAGTTTCTAATTTTCCACAGCTCTTAATGATTGTGTTGAACATATTTATACATAATGGTTTTTCTCTTTTAAAAATATTGTTCTTTAGGTTTTATTCCTAGAAGGAATATTGTAGAGTCAAATAATATAGCCCAAATAATTTCTATTTCTTCATAGGTCTTCTAACTCACTTATTAATTACATCTTCCTACTTTATGTACACTGTTGTCTCTTCTAATCTGCTGGGGAAGGACACCTCAGAATAAGGGACTGCAGTGAGGTTGCTACACTTGGTTTTCACATATGAGTAAAATTTTCATCTTGGATAATTAAAAATTTAAAGTCTTTATCCATTTTCCTTTGGAAGGAAAAGAAATATTTTCTTCCAGAATAGATTTTGTTATATTTATTTATTTATTTATTAAAAAATTTTTTTTCTAATGTTTTATTTATTTCCAAGAGACAGAGAGAGAGACAGCATGAACAGGGGAGGGTCAGAGAGAGAGGGAGATACAGAATCCAAAACAGACTCCAGGTTCTGAGCTGGCTGTCAGCACAGAGCCTGACGCGGGGCTCGAAGCCACAAACTGTGAGA